AGATGCCTTAAGGCTTTCATAGGGAAAACATTAGGTCCTGTCCTAATGCTACCAAGTGAAAGCATGAGAATCCAAGTTCCACTCCAGTACAAAAAAAAGCTGACCAAGCCTTGCCTAGTCGCAGCGATACTGATGGCAATAAAGGTGACATTTCAAGGCAAGACATATTTTCCCCAGAAGCATGCTTCTGTCTGGAGGTACACCTCTCCTCATCAGCATGAGGCACACTGGGCCCAACCAATACCTACGCCGGTGACGACGACCCAAGCATTGGGTGGCTGGTCAGCATCAGCAATGGCTTTGGCCAAGGTCCTGGTGGTTTCAACTCGGCTGCTGATAACTTCCTTGCAGAAAGCATCTCCCCATCTGGAAAAAGGAGAGCCACTCATACTTCCCACCAGGATATCCCAGGAAACAATAGCCCCATGGGGAGCCCCCATGGTCAGCTCACAAGCACAGGAGATGTCACATAAATTCCCCCCACCCCAGAGTAGGAGGAGGACATAGAATGTTACTACTTAACTATATGGTAACTGTGGGAGAACACGGCTCACCATTTCCCAAAAAAAGGCTATAGGTTTTGGATGCCCTTAGGGCAAACACATCAGAAAATGTGGGCACCAAAGCTGTGTGAATTCTCCTCAAACACCTGGAAAAGACATTTCCAAAAACACCCTGGCAATACAGGAACAACTTCCACAGTCCATTTTGGTTCTGACTTTATCTAAGCATATTATTAAGTATTATCTAAGCATAGGCATCTGGTGCCTTTTTGGACATATGCAACTACTTTGCCTGGCCTCCACCTGTCAGTCCAGAAGGAAATGCATCTTTTAAAATTCTCAGGGGACTTAACAGGCCTACAGAAATGTTTTGGATACCTGAAGACTCAGACGTCAACAGCCAGGGAACCCAGGTTGTCCTTTCTGGACACCCTACTCCCTTGCCAGACCCACTCCACATTTTCTGACAACATTGGGTTGTCTTGCCTTCACCTTGTCCCCAAACACTATGGGACACTAAGTTACAACACTACATTACCTGCGGAAAGGGTTGAGGACATTCTCACCAGCCAAGTTCACCACTGCATCACACTGGGGCAGTCCAAGGCGGGACAACTCTTCCTAGGCAGGGGTAACAGAGACATCACACACCCAGCCTTCCCTCTTCTCAAGCCTTCCCAACAACCAAGCTCCCAAGACATCCAGCCAGTTACTTCTTGACCTTTGTAAAACACTGCCTGTTGCACAAGCATGAACAGAGAACATTTTGCTCCTTGGAGCTGCAGCAGTACCCACCCCAACTGACCACAACCAGTACAGCACCTAGGAGATGCAGGGTACATCAGTGGGAAACAGTTTCCCCACTGCAAATTCCCTGCATGCCATGCCAGGTAGGCTAGTTCCTCAGCCTTGACATGGTCTCCCTTCTGTAATCACTCTTATTTCATACCCAGCTGATGCGATTCTTGCCCCCTTGTCGAGAGACATGGGTCACCTCATGACCACGGCTCTGAAGCAAATGGGTCAGGGCTCTGCCCACAAATCCAGTCCCACCACCTGTGAAAAAGACAAGATATTAGAGACCAGAAGCAGCTTGCAAAACTACCGCAGGAGTTCCTGTTACCATGGCCATCCTCCTAGGGTACACCACGGGGCCCTGATCACCCTCTCCCCAGCCCTCCCACTGCAGACCTCCACCACTCCCCATACCCTGGCTCCATGCACTGCATCCTACCCCTCAGGGTGCCTGGATCCCAACTGCTACCAAATCACGCAGGACACTGAGGTGCTGGAGCTTGTCCAGAAAAAGCCATTGAAGCTGGTGAGGGGTCTGGAGAGCAAGTCTTATTAGGAGCGGCTGAAGGAGCTGGGCTTGTTCAGCCTGGAGAAGAGGAGGCTCAGGGGCGACCTTATTGCTCTCTACAGGTACCTTAAAGGAGGCTGTAGTGAGGTGGGGGTTGGCCTGTTCTCCCACATGCCTCGTGACAGGACGAGGGGGAATGGGCTAAAGTTGTGTTGGGGGAGGTTTAGGTTGGGTAGCAGGAAAAACTTATTTACTGAAAGGGTTGTTAGGCACTGGGATGGGCTGCCCAGGGAAGTGGTGGAGTCACCATCCCTGGAGGTCTTTAAAAGACGTTTAGATGTAGAGCTCAGTGATATGGTTTAGTGGAGGACTTGTTAGTGTTAGGTCAGAGGTCGGACTGGGTGATCTTGGAGGTCTCTTCCAACCTAAACTATTCTGATTCCGTGAATCCAGGCCCAGCCCCCCCCCCATTCCCAACCCACAACTCCCTCAGAGCTCCTGCAGCCCCCCCTGCGCCCTACGGCTCCCCGGGGACCCCCGCTCCGCAGCCCCCCCCCCCGCCCCTCACAGCTCCCTACGCAGCGCCCAGCCCCAGCAGCGCGCAGCCGCGCCCCGCACTCACCCACCAGCACCCGCATCGCTGCCCGGCTGCGCATGCGCAACCGCTCCCGCCCGGCGAGCGCGGTCGCTCCCCCTCCCGCCCTTGGTGTCCCGGCGCGTGCGGCTCCCCACCCCCCTGGGGGATCCTTAAAGGGCCCGCGTGCTGCGGGCGCTGACGGGAGGGGCTGAGGCGGGAACGCCAAGGGCGGCAGGCGGCCGCCATGGGTGACGGGTCCTGTGGTGGGAAGGTGGCGACGGAGAAACGGCTGCCGTGAGCCCGGCAGGCGGTGGGGAACGTGCGGCTCCCCAGCCCAAAGCGAGGGGAACGGGGGTTAGCGTGACACAGGTGATGATTATTGGAAGAATGCGATGAAATGGGAGTGTGGCCATCTATTAATTTAAACAGTGAGTGAGGCAGGAATTATGGCCGTTGCATGGAGAGATAAGAAAGGAACTTGGGTAACAGTAGCAAATCGGCTTTGGAGATAGAGAAACTCTGAATTTGGCTTTGGGGTGATGTGACCAGTGAAACAGTTGGGAGCTCATGTTGAATGTCTACACTAGAAAGCAGTACATAGTGAAAACAGTAACCCAGGGGGAGAAATTCACCCACCAACCGCCTGCACTGTCGACAGGACTGTCATAGAATCATAGAAACACAAGATTAGGAAGGACCTACAAGATCACCTAGTCCAACCGTCCTATCATCAATACTGCCCACTAAGCTACTCATATCTCAACATCATGTCCTCAAGGTGGAACTGCTGCGTTGAAAGAGCTGCTTGCCAGCCACGTCTTGTCGCCTCCAACAGCTGTAGTGTGTATCTCGCTCTCCTGAGCAGGAATCTCGAACCAGAAGCCTTGACTCATGTCAGAGCTCTGCCCAGATTTATGTGTTTGTGAATAGAAGTTGCCATCTACTGCCATAGACATCAACTTGGTAAATGGACCCTACAATGTATGCCACTGACTAGTGGTGTTCTGTGCCTGCAATTGCCCTGTCCCCAGCTTCCCTGGGACAGCTGTTACAGACGGAGCCTCTTGGGCTGGAAACGAGCCCATTTCCAAAGCCTTTATGATCCAGGCATGAAACTGGACTTACCCAACAAGAAACAGGTACCTGCTGCAAGTACTCTGCCTGGCATTGTGACTTGCTAAGTGTTGCCTCACCTTGATCACTTGAGTATGTGGCCTAAATTTCAGCATGCTTCACTACAATGTAATTGTCTAGCTGAGGTGCTGTATCATAGCCTTGCTTTGTATAAGCAATACATACACATACAGTAGCTGGAAGTGGCGAGCCATGACAAACAGGACAATGTGAACAGGATGTGAACAACCTTGGGTCAGTGAGTGACAGGAGAACATCTGATATTGCTGCAATGACATCATAATGAACTCATCTGATTTGTGGCCTGGACAGACATGTGGCAATAAAATAAAAAAATAAATAAAATAAAATAAAATAAAATAAAATAAAATAAAATAAAATAAAATAAAATAAAATAAAATAAAATAAAATAAAATAAAATAAAATAAAATAAAATAATAAATATGGGAGGGTAACATTTCTACTTGGATGACTGACAGTGCTCTAGTTCTCCCTGTGTCTGTGAGGGCACCATGTCACAACTCAGAGCTAAAGTCAGGCTCTTTCTGCTCTACACTTCCTCTTGCTATTGTCTCATTCCAGAGGTCCTGCACTGTAGCCCCTGGCCATTTCTCTCTTTGTCTTGAGAAACTCAGTGTGCCCAACCATTTGTATACTTCATTTCCCAAGCTCATTACCAGCCCACCAGAAAGCTCAAGTTCTTTGTTCCCTCCTGTTGACACTGTGTGAATGTGTTTCTGTGTTGGAAGGAAGGCCTTGCAAAAGCAAAGAGTGAAAACAAATATTCAACTGGTACCACAGACTTGTCAAGGAAACTCAAGGAAATAGTGGATAGGTACTGACCAGAGATTTCATAAGGTTGGGAAACTATGTTTCTCTATGCCAAAAATTCTTTTATTTAATCAACACTTTATATACAATGTCTGAAAAATTTTTTCCTCATGAAAGAAAAAAAAAAAAGAAAAAGAAAAGAATAAGAAAAAGAAAAAGGGTGAGAAAACGGAGAGTAAATCCAAATCCCTTATGCTTTAGCAGCAGCTTAAAAAATAAAGAGTAACTTTTTTAATTAATATGTTCAATTTTTTAGGCAACCAAAACTTAAGGCAACCAAAGTTTTTGGATTCAAGAACCATGAAACTCAAATGTAAAATATTCCCAGATTCCATCAAAGGTATACATAATCCTTTACTGAAAAATGACATAAAACTAATGAAAAATAATAATATTTTTGAAAGAAAGTTAGCTGAAAAATGATACTGCCCAAGCATGACTCTGTAACCCAAATTCGAATATATCAATCTGGAAAAATAACAACAACAACAACAAAAACACCTACCAAGAGCTAGAAAGAAAACAATTAACAATCTAACCATTTTCTTACTCTTTTACCTTTTCTCCTTCGTTTTGTTATGATAAAAAAATAATAACAATAAAAATAAATGAATAAGAAGACCTCATGAAGCCCATATGTTGGGTTGTGTCTCTACTTACCTGGCAGGGGAGACACCATGATCAGGCAGGTGGTTTTCCCAGGGCAAGGCTCATCCCCAGCACTCCGGGTGTGCTGACCCCTGCAATTTCCCCAAATGCAGGAAACTCGACTGTATAATTTGTGGTAGTAGGGGTCTGTATTCACGTATTTTTCCTGCACCTAGGATGGGACAACCCTGGCTATATGTACAGACTGGGTGATGAGATGTTGGACAGCAGCATTGCAGAGAGGGATCGGGGGGTTGTGGTCGACTGCAAGTTGAGTATGAGCCAGCAGTGTGCCCTGGCAGCCATGAAGGCCAACCGTATCCTGGGGTGCATCAAGCACGGCATTGCTAGTTGGTCGAGGGAGGTGATTGTCCCACTCTACTCTGCGCTGGTCCGGCCTCACCTCAAGTACTGTGTGCAGTTCTGGGCACCACAGTACAAGAAGGACATTAAACTGTTGGAGAGTGTCCAGAGGAGGGCAATGAAGATGGTGAAGGGCCTAGAGGGGAAGACGTATGAGGAGCGGCTGAGGGCACTGGGCCTGTTCAGCCTGGAGAAGAGGAGGCTGAGGGGGACCTCATTGTGGTCTACAACTTCCTCGCGAGGGGGAGTGGAGAGGCAGGTGACCCATTCTCTGTAAACACCAGTGATAGGACCCGCAGGAATGGTGTTAAGCTGAGGCAGGGGAAATTTAGGCTGGACATCAGGAAGAGGTTCTTCACCGAGAGGGTGGTTGCACACTGGAACAGGCTCCCCAGGGTACAGTCACTGCACCAAGCCTGTCTGAATTTAAAAAGCGATTGAACTGTGCGCTTAGTCACATGGTCTAAACTTTTGGGCACACCTGTGTAGCACCAGCAGTTGGACTTGATGATCCTTATGGGTCCCTTCCAACTCAGGATATTCTAGGATTCTATGGAAAAAAAAAAAAAAAAAAAAGAATAAGAAAACCTCATGAAGCCTCATATGTTGGGTTGGGTTTTGTCTTGAAACCTCATATGTTGGGTTGTGTCTCATATTTTTCAGAAATAAGATATATTTATTGAAAAACAAAATTTCAGTGGCTAAGTTTTTAAAGGAAATTTTCAATCAGTTGTTGATGTAATTTAAGATTTTAAACTTGTTATCAAACAAGCAGAGATGCATTTAAAGTGTGTTCAGTAAACATTTAATAAAAATTAGCTCATACTGCCATCATCTGTTCTAAAGAGTTACTGGCTCAGAATTAGATATACGTACTGTAGAATCTACGTTTGGGTGATAAATCTTACCATTTTTGACTGCAAGAGGTTTACGATTACATTTGGGTGTCTTGACATTAGACATTTACAATATAGTTGTTACAAACTGAGCTAGCTGCCTAGAAAAGCTTTACAGGCAAAGGAGAGAAGGTGCATCAGCAGAAAACTTTTTTTTTTTTTTTTTTTACCTTAAATGTCTGCCTCTGGCAGGGTTGCTGCACACTAGATCAGGTTCCCAAGGGCCTCACCCAGCCTGGTCTTGAACACCTCCAGGGACAGGGAATCCACAACCTCTCTGGCCAACCTGTTCCAATGCCTCACTACCCTCTGAGTAAAGAATTTCCTCCTAACATCTAATCTAAATCTCCCTTCTTTTATCATAGAATCACAGGATGGCCTGGGTTGAAAAGGACCTTAAAGCTCACCTAGTTTCAACCCCCCTGTTCTGGGCTGGGTTGTCAACTACCAGAGCAGGCTGCCTATAGCCGCATCAGGACCCCCAAGTCCTTCTCTGCATGGCTGCTCTCACGTTTTTCTTTGCCCAGTCTATATAAATACCTGGGATTGCCCCAGCCCAAGTGCAACACCTTGCATTAGGTGATGCATTAGGTGATGCCTCTGGATGGCATCCCTTCCCTATATTGTATCGACTGCACTGCTCAGCTTGGTGTCATCTGCAAACTTGCTAAGGGTGCACTTGATTCCGTCATCTATGTTGTTGATAAAGATGTTGAAGAGCACTGGTCCCAAGACCAACCCCTGAGGGACACCATTTGTGACTGGTCTCCACAGAGACATAGAACCATTGACCTTTTGGCTTTGTGGTGCACGCTACCACCAGAAGGTTTGAAACATACTCAGTGCTTCATGCCACTATCGGAAACACCATCCTGGGCCTTGAAAAGAAAGATTTATGGCAAGGTGACACTCCAGAAAGAACTGAATCAGAAAACAGGACTCAATTCTGAAACAACCTCATAGACACCTGGAACAAAGAATATGGCTTTGAGTAGGTGTATAACATTCCCTGTCATGCACCAGCCCCTGGGAAGACAATAATATGGTGGACTTTTAAAAACTGAGAGCAATGGATGATGGAACATTCAAGCATGGAGATACAGATTTAGCAAAAGCCATTTGGTTAGTTAATACTCAATTATTTGCTAATTGATATGGTCCTCCCAATTGAAACCTGCATGTGCTGTAAAAGGGGATAAAGTCCCTGAAGAGCACGTACAAAAAACATGCTGGGGAAGACAGTCTGGGTTATTGCTGCCTCAGGCAAAGGCAAACACATCTGTGGGATTACTTTTGCTGAAGATGTGGGACTACTTGTTGAAAAATGCATAGGGTTTGGCAAGTCTGATGTGTATCTTGAGGGGATTTGATTTTGTCAAAGAATAGCCAATGATTTTAATTGTAAGATGTTAGTTGCTATATGATGCCATCATTATATTATGCCATCATTGCTATGGTTGCTATATGTCATGTCAATGTTATTACAGTAAGAATCACCCAAACCAATGAAGAAAAGATTTTGGTGGAACCAAGCGAAGTGAAGCGGAGATGGAATCAGAGCTGACCTCATCATGCAACTATCCAACACCATGCACCTTCTCTCTTGCCCTCAGAAATGCCCCATTAAGACAGGTGGAGCCCAAAATTATAAACTAAATGAACTCAATGGACATTTTAGTGGGAAGGCTTATAGACTAAGGGTATGATATCTGTGTTTATATATCAAAAGACAAGAAGTGTGGTGGTGATTAACTGGGATGTATTGGAAAGTGTGGGACGTGAGCACGATGCACATGGAATAAGAGGTAGATATTGTCCTAGTTTTGACTGGGATAAGATTAATTTTCTTCCTTGTATCTGTTATGGTACTGTGTTTTGGATTTAGCAGAAAAATAGTGCTGATAACACACTGATATTTTAGTTGTAGAACATTGCTTACACCGAGTCAAGAAATTTTCAGCTTCTCATCCTGGCAAGGTAGAGAGGAGCTGGGGGACTGGAGATGCACCAGAAGTTGTGGGGGACACAACCAGCACAGCAGACCCAAACTGGCCAAAGTGGTATTCCATACAATATGACATCATGCTGAACAATAAAACTTGGGGAAGGTGGCCAGTGAGGAGCTCCCATTACTTGGGGGTTGACTGGGCATCAATTAGTTGGTGGTGAGTAATTGTGTTGTGCAGCACTTATTTTGTTACTCTTTTCTCTGTATTTTTTTTTATTTATTTTATTCTTTTCTTATTAAACTGTTCTTATTTCAACCCATGAGTTCTGACACTTTTACATTTTCTTATTCTTTCCCCTGTCCCAGTACAGGGGAGTAAGTGAATGGATGTGTGGTGCTTAGCTGCATGACAGGTTAAATCACAAGAATTGATTATATAGGAGCTTGACACCTGACCTTAACACCACATTTACCTTTGACTGTTACTATTAATTCTGCTTAAAAGGACCTACGGGGACGTTCATAGTGACATAAGACCATGAGTATGACTGTGTGTCATTCAGTTCCCTGCAATTCCAAAATTTAGAGAAAAAAAAAAAAATTTTTTTTGGACCAGCTTGCTTCAGCTTCTGAAGTACAAACCAGAGTTTTTCATAACTTGAATTAATTATAAAATCCAATGTTTTTATATGGTTTTCTTATCTTTCCAATCTCTCATTAAACCTGCTGATGCTTCTGCAAGGAAACTGTTTTGTTAAAGAAAACCCTTTTGACAGCATCCTTGATTTCCTGGTTCCTTAGGCTGTAAATTATGGGGTTGAAGAGAGGAACAACAATAGAATAGAAAGCAGACACAATTTTGTGTGAGTCATGAACTGCAAGTGTTTTGGGCCTCACATAGATGAAAATGCTTGTTGCATAGAAGACAATGACCACTATAAGGTGGGAGGCACAGGTGGAAAAAGCTTTTTGGCAACCTTGTACAGATGAAATGTGAAGAACAGTGAAGATAATATAGGCATAGGATAGCATCACTATGGAGAGAGGCATCAGGAGAATAAATAAGGCAGCCACAAAATCCACAAGAACAGCTCTTTCCATATCTGTGCAGGCTAAGTTCAAGAGAGGCGAAACATCACAGAAGAAATGGTTAATTATATTGGGTCCACAGTAAGTTAACTGAGAGATAAAAAATACTTTACATCCAGAAATTAAGAAACCAGTCAACCAGGATCCCATAGTAAGGTAGACACAGACAATATGTCTCATAATGGTGGAGTAATGGAAAGGCTTACAGATGGCAACATAGCGGTCATATGCCATGACTGCTAGGAGGAGGCACTCAGTGTTTCCCAGGCTGAGGAAGAAATACAGCTGTGTCATGCATCCCATGAAGGAGATTTCCTTTGCCTCTGATACAAAGCTCAGCATTGTCTTGGGAAGTGTGACTGTCACATACCAGATTTCCAGGAAGGACAAGTTAATTAGAAAGAAATACATGGGGCAGTGGAGGTTATAGTTTGTCCAGACAGCCAGAATGATGATTACATTTTCTGCTAAAACTAAGATATATGCAATGAGAAATATTGCAAAGAAGAGAATCTGCAAGTGAGGAGCAATGGGAAATCCAAGAAGGATGAACTCTTTGACCGTGGTGTGATTGCCAACTTCCATGTCTCCCATCTACCTCTGTAAAGACAATGACATCAATGATTTATTATTAGTGAATATAATTCACTTGTCTCTCTGTATCTCTCTCTCATTTTACAGTTGTTTTACATTTCTTTCACACTACGTTAGTGTTGATAGTGCTATACTTACTAGTACCGTTAATCATTAAGATAGTCAAAGATATGCTAGTTAAAAGAAAATTACCGTAACTCAAGAGGATTATGAATTCTCTGAGCTACATAATGCCTAACTCCTATTTGACCTTCTACAGAGAATAATCTGTTACTCTGTC